GAGAAAAGCCAGTTTCGACGACCTGTTCAAAGCATTGCAAGCTGAACCCGAATGCTATGGAAATTTAACAAAACTGATGAAAATTGCTTTGACACTGCCCCTCACATCAACAAGTGCCGAAAGGACATTTTCGAAGCTAAAGTTGATAAAGTCTCGACTTAGGACAACCATGCAGCAGGAAAGACTGAATAGTCTGATGCTGATGTCCATCGAAGACGACTTGTTGGAGCAACTTGATGTGGACAATCTTGTCCAATTGTTCGTAGACATGGCCCCAAGAAGAATGGGTTTAGTTTAGATTTTAAATTAAACATTTACTCTCAACTATTGCTCTATTCTTTCAAATATTTAAATTTACACTTTATCAGACTCTGAGTCCCCATTTCTTTTAAAAAGCATTGTAGAAACGAACAGTGTCTCACTGTCGAATAAAAGAACTTCGCATTATTTCAACTCAAAATGTCCAACTAATGTTCGTTTAAGCCTTTTTACACACTTCTCTAGGGATAAAGGGGTCATAAAGTGAAAAGAATAACCCAACTTCAGTTCTGCAGTATAGATGGCTTTGACAATTTATTACATTTGGGAGAAAAGAAGATTGGTACATTTGTGAAATCAAGGAAAATCATGTCTTTTATGCAATATATAATCCTCAGAATGCCAACTTTATTCTGCAAAATCTCACCCGGAAAATGCAGGAAATCGCATTTGCAGGAGTCTAGATTTCAAAATTTTCCGGGGGGCATGTCCCCGGACCCCCCTAGAATGGCTCACGCCTTCGGCGTTCGGATCTCGCCCCCCCAAAACTTTGACTCTGGCTACGCCACTGCATAAGTGATTATAAAGCAAACGTTCTTTACCTTCGGAGTACCCGAATTAGCAGTTGACTCAGCCGTTACCCGCATGCGAAAGTAACCGGATGTTATATTACTATGCTATAAATTAACAGTAAGTGTGACATCTCTAGCGTAAAACATTCGCGATACCTATCTTTATATTGACGGACTATATATAACCTCTCAAATAACCCACTTGTGCTCTGCCGAAATTTGTAAAAACAAACAACGATTAAAAATGCTATATGACATAACAAGTTATATTCATATCCTGTTTGTTAACTTAATTGTTTTAAAATGTTATATTAGATCTTCTGTGAACGAAATGGAGCAGAAATACTTCGCTCTATCCCCTGTACGTTTGAGATATACAATGGTGTTATGGCATATGGCGCACATGTAGTTTTAGATTGTAAGTGGATCACTACAGTTTTTTACACACAATACCGCTCCCCTCCCCCCACCCCAATCAATGTTGCTCCAACCAAAACACATCAAACCTGACGAGAAATGGGACACAACATTGAACAGGGGGCGGGGGGATTGACGTTTTGTGGAAATTCAAAGGTTTTGTGGCATCTGTCCCAAGACTTTTGAAACTGATTGTCTGAAAGGCAATGAAAGGCATATTTAACCTCTTTGAATTACCGGGTATTTTAAAATATCAGTTTCGCGAAAATCATATAGCATTTAGTATAACATGTTTACTGAATTGCATTGGCATATGTAACGTCCTTACTGTGCTTCGGTTGTGGTCAATATCTTTGAAATGTAACACAATCCAGCAGTGTATTATAAATGAGCTTATACTGAAAGATGTGAGTGTGGGGAGGGTAGTATGCCGAGCGATTAAACCTGGTCTATATGCAAGGGAGAAAACACATCTATCTGGTTAATTATCGACCTATGTTAATGTTAAATAAAATGCAAAGGTAAGTTATCGAAAACCACTTAAAGATTGTGCATATTTGACATGAAAACATTTATGTCATATAAAACGGCTTGAACACGTGCTCGGTTGTCACTTTGAAACACATAGCATTTTCGTTGATATAACTTTCAATTGTCGCGGCATAATCATTTTCAGAACATTAAGTACTAAGCAAACGTGTTTAGGGAGCGCTTATTGATATATTACGGGTTCTACTTAATCACAAAGTATATAAATTGTATAAAATGTATCGATTGACACTCAACTCTAGAAATATCACTATGATATATCAGATTTATTTATGTAAAAAAGTGTCAATCGATCCAAAACTTGGTTTAATCAATTTCAAATCCTTTCATTAATAGCAAATACATTGTTAGACATTCTCAACAGATTATTCTTAGCCTTGTTCTGTTTTAAAAGATGTCTAGTTGCCTGTTATTTCATATTTCTATAGTGACAATCGAAGTGTCAACCGATGTTAGTTTCATTGCATTCGTCTCGTCCGGAAACGCTTATTAGCATAATTAGCGTATAACACTAACATCAGTGTTGTATAATGCGTACAACGCCGTGTACTGCAAGTCCCTTTCGTTACATATTTTTGGAAGCCTGTGCAATTTTTTTGCCGTGTGGAAGTGACTACCGCCCATTCCATGAGCCTCCGACATTCCCACCTACTTAGTGCTCCTTCCTACCCATGCGTCGACAATTATATCTGCAAATTGTGCTCTAGAAAGATGTGAAATGTCACATTGACCATAAGTGATTATAAAGCAAACGTTCTTTACCTTCGGAGTACCCGAATTAGCAGTTGACTCAGCCGTTACCCGCATGCGAAAGTAACCGGATGTTATATTACTATGCTATAAATTAACAGTAAGTGTGACATATCTGGCGTAAAACATTCGCGATACCTATCTTTATATTGACGGACTATATAACCTCTCAAATAACCCACTTGTGCTCTGCCGAAATTTGTAAAAACAAACAACGATTAAGAATGCTATATGACATAACAAGTTATATTCATATCCTGTTAATTATTAACTTTGAGAATTTTAATGGAACTTAATTGTTTTAAAATGTTATATTAGATCTTCTGTGAACGAAATGGAGCAGAAATACTTCGTTCGCAGAGCATTCTATCCCGTGTACTTTTGAGATATACAATGGTGTTATGGCATATGGGGCCCAGACAATCACTTTCAGAAGTTGTTGGTACACATGTAGTTTTAGATTGTAAGTGGATCATTACAGTTTTTTACACACAATACCGCTCCCCTCCCCCTCCCCCTCCCCTTCCCCCTCCCCCAATCAATGTTGCTCCAACCAAAACACATCAAACCTGGGGGCGGGGGGATTGACGTTTTGTTGAAATTCAAAGGTTTTGTGGTATCTGTCCCAAGACTTTTGAAACTGACTGTACTTATACCTACCTACCTATACCTACCTATACCTACTTATACCTATACCTACCTATACATACCTATTTATACCTACCTACCTCCTACCTAGTTTCACTGCATGAATCAGTTTTCAATAAATATATATGCCACTCATGAATCAGTTTTCAATAAAGTAGTGCTATTATTTAAAAGTATACCAACTGACTTCATGTGGGAGCTCAAAAACCAAGCGGTGGCAGATATACTGTAAGAAAGCGCGGACTGCATGGTCAGTGGACGCGCTTGGGCGCATACGCGTAAAATAAAAAAACAAAAATGTGTTTGAGTTGAAATTCTGTATTTTGAGTGGGTTTATAGTATTGTTAAAATTCTGCATTTTCGACAGATTTGTACTGCTAAATACTGAATAATTCTAACTCATGATTTGTTGCATATCTAAAAAGGCCACACCATTAGCTATATCATCAGCAAAATTATGGATTGTGTGGTTTTTATCACGGATACTATTTTAGTATTTATGTACCTACCTAGCTCATGAGGGAGTTCATGACAAAACACAGCAATGGAAGTGCTTACACCACCAGATATACTATTAGAGAATGCTATACCAATAGCTATACCATCCGCAATATTGTGCATAGTATCACCAACAATGATATTCCATGCCACAGATGAAATTGATTTTTTCTCTTCTCCGTTTTTCTTGATTGCTGATGATTTCTCCGGGCTAATTCCGTCACAACCATTTTCAATCACGGCAGCCTGAACATAACGGAAACAAAAGTTACCAGACTGTTTTTTGTTTTGACTTTTGAAACAAAAGAATATTGGGGACAGAGGCGGAATAATTGTGACTCAGTTGATGATTATTGATTTTAAATATTTCCAAACTAGTCAACATTCATCGTATTTCCTTGAGTATTAATTCATTCTTCTTCTTACAATAAATCTTTTTAATTGACTCAAATTATTATTAATTATTCATTTCCTACATCTTTCTACCAACGAAAATGAACAGCCAAGTGCAGTGTGATAATTTTTAACGAAATTTATATGATTAAAAATTTACTTTGAAACAACTCTTAATCTATAATTTTAATAATATTAATTATATAGGGGGCACTCAGAGAATGCATACCTCCGCGTGTATCATGCATAAATTATACAATGGGTTAATTATTACACATTCAGTTTACTCTGCTCGGCAAAGCAAGACGAACTTTGAAATTGCCAATTTCTCAATCTGATTTTTATCCAAATTTATCAACCAAAATTTAATCTATTAGTCGATTAATCCCACAAATTTTCGTATCAATTCTTTTCGTATCAAGTCACGTTGCAATCACGTGACTTTTCATCCAAATGACGGGCAATCAAATAACTTGTGGACAATTTTTCTCCTATCAGAATGGTTGTATAGCAAGAAAAACTTAACGGTAAATTAATCGATCAATACATTAAAATAGCAACTTTTTGGTATACCTGCCCACCAACTGAAATCCCAAAATTACGTCACTGCAAACAAAAAATACAGGCAAACACACACATATGCATACACATAAAAAGACACACATACAAATGCGGACGAAAACATATATAACGGTCCAAGGAGGTAATAATCAATATATAGATTACCTTTTCTTTCTTCGTTGTGATTATTTTATCATTGTGAGATCTTTGATTTTCTGATTCATCATTAATATAAGCCTTAGAAAGCACATAGTAATTATTCGGTTATTATTAAAATCGTATTTTTTTACCTTTAAGCAATTGATGTTATTCATTGGGCATATTGTGGACACGTTGTGATGTCGCTTGATAATACTCATATTTAACAAAAACAAAAACAATTTGAAAGACTTGTACATGTTCTTATATTTCGACAATTAATAATTTTACAATAAGTTCAGTTGATAAAAACCGAAATACACCTACCATGTTTGTTAAAACGCAAGATTCATTTCTGTACTCTGTACGGGATTCAACACCTATTACATTGTTTTCTTCTGGAGTGTGCTAGAAAATAATTTGAAAAAATGAATGTTGTTGTTGTTGTTGTTGTTGTTGTTGTCGTTGTCGTTGTCGTTGTCGTTGTCGTTGTCGTTGTCGTTGTCGTTGTCGTTGTCGTTGTCGTTGTCGTTGTCGTTGTCGTTGTCGTTGTCGATGTCGTTGTCGTTGTTGTTGCAACTGCACTTGTTCCTGTCGTTTAAAACAAATTAAAGCAGTACAGGTCAATTTATTCTCTCCCTTAATTAAAATGCACAATTTTATTAGATGCAATCCAAATTATTGTACCTCAACCTGATGTGAATGACCAGACTTCCCTAGGATAAGATGAGTAATAGTCTCAAAAAGAAAAAAGCCATATATTGCTGCAGTTGCCACGAGAAATTTCCAAAGATGGTCTCTCTCTTCACTTTCATCTGATGATCCAGTACCATGAGCATGGTCATGAGAAGCATGGAAGCCAAGTGCCTTAAAAATGAAGTGATGGTTAATCAATATACTAAAACTGTCTGTACCAGTGTAGGTAGTACCAATGTGGAAATGCTGTGCTGAGTGGTTATATTACTATCTTAAAAAACAAGCAGAACTCGACGTTTCGAGCGAAGGTCCTTCCTACAAAGGGCCTTAGCTCGAAACGTCGAGTTTCTGCTTGTTTTTTAAGGTAGTAATATAACCACTCAGCACAGCATTAATCAATATACATCTGTTTCAAAAAAGGTTTACCTTCAAAAATCTCAAACCTTAAACTCTAAGCGCGCAAGGTGTGATGACTACAGTTTTAATTTAAATTCAGCAGTTTAGTGGGCTGCCTAAGGGACAACCTTTTTTGAATTAGCTGTATGCCAACATATACCAATCTTAAGGGGCGGCTTACTATACATGATACTGCTTTGTTGGGATGGGGGGAAATGTGAAAACTACGAATTAATGAGCGATCAAATACAATACTGTATATTCATTAGAAAAACCCATGAGTATATTGTATCGTATCATGAATATATTGTATCATATTTATACTTTTTCCCTGATGATGGCTCTAAAATGTGATAGCAGAATTATATGGAAAGTCAAAAGAAATTAGTTTTTTCTGAGGCAAATTGGTGGGAAGTTTAAATAGGAATTGGGATGGTGTTGATCATTTCCAAAGTCCAGATTACTGTGGATGTTCAAAGTTCTTTTCATTTGGCAATAATTTATTTTAGGGGTGCACAAGATATAGTATCCGGCCGGATAGTGACAAAATCGTACTGTCTGGTATCCGGCCAGATATTTATCACTTATTTACTGAGACCGAGGGAAACAGTGTGTTTTGTGGACCCGAGACCGTCGACGGTCGAGGGTCCACAAAACACACTGCTTTCCCGAGGTCTCAGTAAATAAGTGTTTTATTATATATCAATAGTCAAAGAAACAACAAATTAAAGAACAAATGAACGTAAATACACGAAATATTTTATTGTTAAAACGTTATATTAAACACTGGCTACACTGCAGTTACTTAAAGCGAAAGTTTTAATTACGTACTAGGAATGTCCAAAGGTCGCATCTTCACGTGATGGCGCACGTGATTTCTTTTGTTATTCGCCGGTCGATAACGTATTATCTCCCTCTCGCGCTGTTGCGAGGGAGACAGCCTAATTTCGTCACTCTCACGTGATATGCTCTCAACCAATAAAACACTAGAAAAATGCGACTTTGACTATTGATATATAATAATTACTATTTAAGTAACTGCAGTGTAGCGTAATTTAATATAACGTTTTAACAATAAAATATTTCATGCATTTACGTTCATTTGTTCTTTAATTTGTTGTTTCTTTGACTATTGATATATAATAAAACACTTATTTACTGAGACCTCGGGAAAGCAGTGTGTTTTGAAACATCGACGGTCTCGGGTCCACAAAACACACTGTTTCCCTCGGTCTCAGTAAATAAGTGATAATTATCCGGCCGGATACCGGATAATTTGTTTTTCATGAAGTGTACTAAATTTTCGTTAATTGAAACATAAAAAATGCTAAAAGAATAGAAACCCAAAAAAAGGACATGCGAAGAAGCTAGCTACTGATATAATTAATTGAATTAATTAACTATTCGCAGCGTTTGACACCAAAAGCCATACTAAATCCCATCGTTCAAAAACTTTCGGAAGTTTTCGGAAGCACGTGAAAGGTGGAAAAAGTTAAAAACAGATTTTTAGTTATCCATAATTGATTATTTACTCAAAAATTAAAAAAAAATAGTGTCACCTTCTTCTGCACTAATGCATGGATGAGAAAAATCCTTATAAATATATATTATATGTCAAGTATTCAAATTGATAAAATATCCGGTATCCGGCCGGATTTTTTTCAGATATCCGGCAAATCTGGTATCCGGCTGGATAGTAAAAATCACTATCCGGTGCACCCCTGATTTATTTCAAAACTCGTTCTGCCTTTTATCCTCGCACACTAGCAAAGCGGCTTCACGTAAACAAATTCTTAGAGTCTTAAAAATATGCAACATGCACTCACATGAGGGAAAAGATGCAACAATGCGTCACCAGCCAATGTACCAATAGCCAAAGCAATAAAGAACACGAGGGATATTTTATAAAATATCCTGTTCATAAACGGAATAATTGCAACTCCAACAAGCGACAGCAAACTGATAATGGCGACAGCAAGAACACTATAACCCCATTCTAGACAAAATAGAACATACACAATAATAAAAATATGGTACAATCTATTACTTCGTTGCATATACTGTAGATCTATTAAATTGCACCAATCGTTGGGTTTCGGTTAAGTGTTTTATATAGTGGTGCAAACGGTGTTCAATTTCAAATGCATGGACATGCACTAAGGGAGTAAATCCATTTCCCGAGTCAAATCCGAGTCCGGGTCAATCCCGAGCCCGAGTCAAACGCCCGAGTCGCGTAATTAAAAAAAGACGAAAGTGCAGAAGAAAATTCACAGTCGAATAGGGTTAGGAGTAGGTTTAGGGTTAGGGTACTAAGTAATTTTACCGACAAAGACAGTTAAACAGTGACTCGGACATTTGACTCGAACTCGGATTTGAGTCGGTCAGTAACCGACAAACTCCGAAATTGAATAAAATTCACAGTTGAATATAGCCCGCGTGCAGGCCCAAGGGAACTGATAGTGGGCCTGCAAGCAAGGCCCGGTATTTTGTAAAACGCCCCTTTTCATAACACGCCCCATTCGCGCGTCAATTGTCAAAAAAGAACCAATGACAGCACCCAAATCAAGTTAACAAACAAACTCGCATTAAAATGTTGTGGGGTTTTCTCTGCTTATTCAGAACAAAAACAATGTGTAAATGGCAGCGTTTTAACTCCAAAAAAGTAAGCAACGCAGTCAGTAATTGCCAAATTTGCAAGTGCTCATTTTCAACTAAAATCGGAACAGGAAAATTAGGACGAATTTCAACAGAAAACCAGTCTCAAACTTCAAATCGTGAGGGAAGTCGTGCGACCACATTAGCATTTATATTGTGTGCTTCGCTGTCGCCATTGGCATTGTTATAAATAATTAAATTGCCTCACTTATCAGATTGTGTGCGCAATTCTTGTTGGCGGCGGAAAGTACGAAATTTATTTCAGTTATTTCATTTGGTAAAGAACTCTACAAAAGAAGAAAGCGTTCAGAGTCCAGATCGTTTCGCTCCCTCAGCTCTTCGCTCCTTCGCTCTCTCAGCGAAGCCTTGTAAATCGCAAAGTGTTTCGAACAGGCTTACATGCAACTGCATCTCAACATCAACCAAAAGATAATTTTCTTGAGGAACATATAACGTATCAAGTCTGTTTGAAATTAATGAAACTCAAGTAAAGCTAGGTTACTATAGTTTACCCCAGTCGTAATGTTGCTATTCCAACACCTCACGACAAGCAACCCCATTGGCATAACGGCAAAAACATCTATTC